TGTTTTGCTAATTGACACGACTCACAATTTAATTGAGACACCGAACTAAGACTAGGGCATAATTTCTTCAAAACATGAAGGGAGGGATGATCGAAACGACAATGGAGCTGCAGAAGAGAAGAAGTACTAGTGCATGCAATCAACCTTAACACCTGTGTAGGAAAAGAGTCTAGCACATACATACCATTGAGCTCGCGCCCTCTACCAATAATCTGCTTCGTCTTGAGATCTTGGAAAACGCAATGGATAGAAAAGAAAAGAACACTATAATTAAAGGATTTAGTAATTTGACTCACAGATTAAAAATTGAAAGAAAACTGAGATAAAACATAAAACAGAAGACAATGGTAGAGAGTTTATTGGATGTGTAGTGTCACATCCAACTACAGGAGTTGTAGAGCCATTATCTAAAGTGACACGGGATAATTTAAAAGAATACTAAAATGACGAAAGTGTACCTATATTTCCAGTCATATGATCTGTGGCACCGGAATCAATGACCCTATTGCAGGATGAGGTAGATGAATATGTGACAAAATTACTTGTATTGGCTAAAGTGGAAGCGGAAGTGGAAGGTGGAACAAGCTGTTGAGAAACGTAAAATTGTGTAAGGCGAGCATATTCATCTACTGGAATGGTAATTTGATGCTGAGATGGAAGTGTAGGAGGTGTAGGTAAATAACCATCCTGAGTGGCAGCATGGACAAATTTCCTCATAGGAGTCTTGACTCGTGTTCTTTGCTGGTTTGTCATTTAATTTCCAACAGTTCCTTTTCACATGTCTGTGCTCTCCACAATAATAACAATTACGAGAATCGCCGCTAGAGATTTTATTCACCATTTTTTATCACTTTCAGCCATAATTTATAGATTACCAAAAGAATATAGAAGGAAGTAGCTTAAATAAATTCCAAAGCAACTTAAGAATAGTATAGGTCCAACAATATTGCAAGCTCAATCAAGATGTAGCCCAAATAAACTAACGAGTTCAACTAAAAGAAAAGTAAAACTGACCTGCTTAGAGCCCAAAGAAATAGAGATTTATTGCCAAAGACTCAACTCACCCAAAATGCCCAGATTAGGCCCAAAAACCAAACTCTAGAGAATCCACCAATTAATAGTGAGCTCAATAACCAAAGTAATTCAAATATACTTAGGCCCAGCTCCAGGAAACTGAAAGGTAAGCTCAAACACTACAACTGATGCCCAAAACCAAGACAACACTAAACACAGATAAGGCCTAACAAATCGAAAGATCACCTCCTCCGTTCAATTTCTTTGATACTGTGACCTGAACTTTGAAATCCGATCAAAGAAGCAAAATTTGGCCTTCGTGATGACAATCCAACCTTCACCTACACCGGAAAGTTGACGTCCACCCTTAGACACCACTAAGAACTAGATGACACTGGAAAAAAAAAAAAACTGCCAGACTGTGTTGAAACACGCGAAACGACTACAGCTGGAACACAGACTACGATTAGCAGGTACTTGAATGCAAGAACAAGTGCTCTCACAAAGGAAGGGGACAGTTGAGACTCAGGGCCTGTTTGGGCCCGATTTTTTTACCCAAAAAATTGATTTTTTTGACCGTCATTTCACTATTTCAGCCGTCATATTTGATTTCTTCTTTCACAGGTGGACCCCACTTTTCTCCTAACGGTCAAAAAAATCAATTCTCAAAATCACTCCCAAACAGGCTCTCAGATTTCGAGGAACCGAGGGTTGACTAGAAGGAACCAACCACAAATTAGTTGAAGCAGACACAGATTCGAAAAATTCAAGGCTTTGATACCATGTTGACTTGGGGAGAATTTCATATATATTATTGATGCATAAAATGGGTTATATATATACATATGGAGGTTATTTCCAATTAGGAAGTAATTCTAGATTTATGCCACTACCATATATTAATCTATTATTTCCTAGCATACAATCTCATAACAAACATGAATGGACATGAGAGCTCCACTACTCTCCCAAGTACTTCCAATTTCTCCCCCCAACACATTCTTCCTCTTCTCTATTTATACGTATTTTTAACTAAATCTAACTGAATTTTTTACTATTAACTATTGCTCAATTCTTCTGGGTTCTTCTAGAGGTTGATAGGATTCTATCATTACCCACCGTCATGAAATCAACCTTGTCCTCAAGGTGGAAGTTCAACTTAGGATTCACTTTGCTGGAAAAAGAAATTAGCATTTTTGGTCTCCTAAAAGTCGATGTCTGAAAATGCTATCTTCAAGATATCAAAGCAAAAATCATGCACTTTTCATGCTTTAGTTCTTAGTTCAAATGGGAAAACATAGTATTGCATCCCCAGCATCAACATAAGCAGCACATATGACATAAGCTCCCTCACTCCTCTGTAATCAGATTTAACAATACATGTCGATTTTTCCTCTCTCTATACTTGGTAGCCCCAGCACTTATTAATGTCTTATTCATAGGCCCCGAAACCATTTTGTCAGTTCTTCCTTGGGGCCCTTTGAGAATGACAGTGGATTCATCTGTCTACTCACGATAAGAGAAAAGAAGGGATACCTAAAAAATTTGGCAGACCGATTAACTACGAGCAGTATATTGTCCATGAAAACCTTATAATTGGTCGTAGACCTTGTCAAATTTTTGAGAAAATGAAATTGGCGAATTAGAGCACCATGGTGGAAGGTAGAATAAATCAATCAACTCCACGACCCCCCTCTTGTGCAATTATCGAATTAATTAACAACTGTAACATATCAGCAACCTCACCTCCACACAATTGATGGTCTTAAAAATCTCTCCACTTTTGTAGCCACTTCCCATCCAAATTTATTATCATTGATTTCCCAAACTATTTCTCGTCTCTCAATGTTGGGTAGTAAAGTCCCATGGCCTCACTGATTAATTCATTCCAACCCACTTTGCAAGGCAACAAATGCCTCATGAACAACGAGGAATACCCCAATAAATCCCCTCCATGAACTTTCAATTGATTACTCCCTTCTACTTTTACAATCAGAACTTGCATCTCCTTGTTTCGACAACGATGACCTAGAATGTATTTCTCATCATCTTCATAATAAAGCCCTTTTTCCCTCTTCCATTGTGAACTGGGTTACGTGTGTGGATAGGGAAATTGGGGAATTTTGGGCCTAGGTTGTAGGTATTAACTTTAAGTTTAAATGGGCCAAAATTAATTGGGCATGCTTTTTTTCATTCTTGTCTTCAACCCTTTGGACTAACTACATATTTTGGCCCACACCTATAGGCAAACTCTTGACCTCAACCCTATCCCATGATTTTAGCCCATAAACGAGATTAGGGTCCAGTTCCTCTATTGGCAGAAGAGCGGCCATGATCTCGAACAACTTTTGGTACTCTCTGCAATTTCGGCTGCCTGCAGTTGCTCCGGTTTCATTAGGCTTGGGTAGGATTTTAGAATCGAAGGTGGCTTTAGGTAGGGTAGCTGTTGATCCTCTCTTTCCCTTCATGCTCCTGCCTATCCCCTTTCTTCACTGCATCTGAGATTGCTTGCAATGGAGCTGCAATTCTTTTCGAAACTAGCATTTTCAGCCGACAATCGCATGCCTCTGCCTTACCTGGTTCTTCTCGCGGTTTATGGCTGTCAGTAATTGCCCCAATTCCATCCAATTCAGGTAGTGTAGCTGGCTGACCTTTTTTTGCCCATGCCTATCCCATTGTTTCCATCATCAAGTCGAGCTTCTCCAGCGTGATAGGCATTACCTTCTTAATTTCAGATTTTAGTGTTTTCAGATCTTCCTGTACTTCCAATTGAATCCCATAAATTTTCGTCTCCAATTTATTGACTCTTATCTTCAACTTGCTTTTCTTCATTAAATGTAGTATCCCAAGGCTCTGATACCATTTTGTTAGGATCCTAGCTGCAGTTGATTAACAATATCAGAATAGAAACCAAATGTTGTATTTTATTAATGAAATTGAGGAAAACTACAATAAGAAGAAACATAGCCATTCGAGAGGGCTAGGCTTTCTGCTCTTTGCTACTCAGTTTCTCCCCCTTTACCAGACCCGTCCTTCTCACATTTATAGGCATCCTCTCTCACCATATTTCCCACAATACCCATCTCTAACTGATTATGTCTAACTGAATTTGCTTTTCTATTCTTCTGGGTCCTTCTAGGGTATTTAGACTTGATAGGAGTCTAACTAAGTGGCGTGACTCTAAGGGTCTGTCTGATTGCCTTTCCGCTCTTTGCTACTTAAGTTTCTCCCCCTTTACCAGACCCATCCTTCTCACATTTATAGGCATCCTATCTCACCATATTTCCCACAATACCCATCTCTAATCGAATATGTCTAACTGAATTAGCTTTTCCATTCTTCTGGGTCCTTCTAGGGTATTTAGACTTGATAGGAGTCTATCAAAGTGGCGTGACTCTAACGGTCTGTTTGATTGCAAAGATGGAATTTGGGTGGAAAGAAAATGAATTCCAGGGAATTAAATTGCCTAGAAATTGTTTTATTGGGAATTGTCAATTGATAGCATTTAATTGGTATAATTTTCTAGGTGGAAAATGTTAAAATAAAAGTGTCTTTTGGTATTCGTTTGGCTTTGTTTTTCATGAAAAATGTCAATTTAAGGAATATCCACTTCTATCATTATTCCTAGAATTTGCTTCCATTGTAAACAAAAAAAAAAAAATCCAAAAATCATTTATATTTTGGTGTTCGTTTGACTTTGTTTTACATGAAAATTGTTAATTTAAGGGCTATTCTCTTTTACAATTGTTCCTAAAATTTGAGGTGGAATTTCAAAAACCACCTACCCCATGGGAAAATAAAAGGTGGAATGTCATGCTTTACCGGCTTGTACCTAGAAAATCATGGAAACTCAATTCCCTGGAAAATTTTGTTAATCAAACAGACTAAAAGTGGAAGTTGGAATTCGAATTCCAAGCTCCATGGAAAATATGGTGTAATCAAACAGTGCCTAAATTCATTTAACTTGCATTAACTTTTGTTTGCAGGATGTTTTTGAATCTATGGGACAGTTTGTTGATGGCTTGAAGTTCACAGGTGGCTCTCATAGTTTGATGTCAAAAAGCTACATCAAAGAAGTGACTGATATGGCACACAAACACGATGTATATGTTAGTACAGGCGACTGGGCTGAGCATCTATTGCGTAAAGGCCCATCTTCTTTTAAAGAGTACATTGAGGTATAGCAAGCCTAAGGCTCACTTTCTTATAGTCATAAATTTCCAGTTAGTTAACTGTTAGCCTTGAAATCTGCATAGGAATGCAAGCAAATGGGTTTTGATACAATTGAGATAGACGTTGGAACACTAGGAGTCCCAGAAGAAACACTCTTGAGATATGTGAGGTTGATTAAGAGTGGAGGTCTTAGGGCTAAGCCTCTATTTACGGTAAAGGTTAACAAGTCTGATATACCCTCAAATATGGATAGAGCATTTGGAGCTTATGTGGCACCAGCAGCTCGAACCTCAGGTAAACAAGCATATTTTCTGGAGCTATAATGTTTAATTGCATTTATGCTTGTTCAGTTTATCTCTGTAAGTATTTGTAATTGAATTAGGTAATTTGCCCCTGTTTGAGCCATATTTTCAAACACGAAAAATGAAAATTTTGACCGTTAGAGACAAATTTGAGCCACCATATTTGACTTCATCTATCTTAGGTGGGACCCACTGACGGTCAAAATTTTTCTACTTTCTTCCTTGAAAATATGGCTCAAACAGGGGCTTACTATAGACTAAATCTTAAATCTGGATACCAAAACCATTCACTTAATTGATCTTTCATGTTACATAATTGTTCTCACCTTCCTAGTGCTAGCCGTTTGGCTCATTTTCTGTGGAAAGCAACTCTTCTACCTAATATATATCCGCCTACAATCAATCTGGAGCTTCAGTTGAGAAAAAAAATAGGGAATGACCGAGTAGGGACAAAGGGATCTGTATGTTTTGTGATTATTGTTTTTTCGATTACAGTTTCCTGGGTCAGGGAAACTATTCCTTTTCACCTGTATGTGCAAGTCCTTGGTGCGTGTAGTTTCAATTTGAGAATTTTACTGTCTAGTGCTGAATTCCAAATATACAACCTTACTGTTGCTCTCCATCACTGCATCATCGTTTAAATACGATCAAGGCCAATCAATGCTACAAATTCATGTAACAATCATGTAAATCTCTCGTATAGCTAACAGTAGTTACGTTTTCCTTAGAACTTGTTGAGGATGTCGGCCTTTTGATTAGAAAGGCGGAGAGATGCCTTGAAGCTGGGGCAGACATGATAATGATTGATGCCGATGATATCTGCAGACAGGCTGATTCTGTACGGGCTGATATTATAGCAAAAGTCATCAGTCGTCTAGGTCTTGAGAAAACAATGTTTGAAGCATCAAATCCTAAAACGTCCGAGTGGTTCATTAAACAATATGGCCCGAAGGTACATTTCCCATTTCATCTTGCTGACCTTATTAGCTGGAGACCTTTTAACATATTCTGCACGTGCTTACAGGTGAATCTGCACGTGGATCATTCCCAAGTGATGAATCTGGAGTGCCTTCGAGGGGGCAACCTGGGTAAAAATCATGTGTCTGTTCTTGGTTCATCGTATTTTCTGTAGAGCTCTTTCTTCTTTTAGAATTTTAGGTGGACATGCTCAGCGAAATTTATGTTTCTTATGGGTCTGTATTTCCTACACTGGAGGATGTTCTGTCAAATTACCTACTCACACATATGGTTTAACGTTCTAAATTTACTAGCATAATTAAAATGGTCAACAGTGCACGAGATTTTCTTGAAAATGAGCCCGATTCTTATGAAGAGGCTGTTAGTAGAGAAGTGCAGGCCGCTTGACTTGTAGCAAGATGAAGTGCATTTCTTAGTAAAAAATAAATAAATAAATTCGGACTCTAAGGGACGAAAGATTATAGTCTGTAAACAAATTTACAAAATAAGAGGATAAATCTCAGGTGATGTCAGAAATTTGCAAATAAGAGAATTTTGAAAGTGATTGAAAAATTCATAGAAAATTTTGGAATGTTAAGGTCTGTTTGATTGTAAATATGAAATTTGGGTGGAAAGAATATAAATTTCAGAGAGTTGAATTGTGTAAAAATTTTAAATTATTGTATTTGATTGATATAATTTTTTACGTAAAAAATGTTGAAAAGAAAGTATTTTTTGTGTTGGTTTGGCTTCGTTTTACATGTAAATTGTCAATTTAAAAGATATGTTTTTTTACAATTGTTCATCGAATTTGGTTTCTTCAAAAATAAAGAAATGGGGCGCGTCAATTTCAACCAAAGAAAATGTTTTCCTTATAAAAATTAGGAAATCAAACATGCAAACGTTAAAAAAAGAGATCAAATTTCATTTTCTATGAAAAAGCACAATCAATCAAACAGGGCCTTAATTATTAGCGTGCTTAGGAAAACTCGCTCTCCCAGTTGTACGAATTCCAACCACTCCACAAGTCTAATGCTACCCGAGGGCACTTTTCCACCATTTGTTATTTTGAGCCAAAACCAATGTGGACCCGTGTGATTTGTACAATTGCCCTCCTCCTGATTTTCCTGTTGCATTTGAATGACTCCCTTTTAATAAGGTATTTTTAAATTTTATTAATTGTATAATTGGGGTTGACAATTTTAATTAACAATTTCGTGAGAGGGTTTACGATTTTTTTATTCATCGTGGATCTCTTCTCAAGTGTGTGGTAAACCCTAGTTGTAATATGGTTGGTTAAGAATAAGCTTTTCTTATTTAAAGTTTGTTTGGTTTGGATTAAAATCTGATTTTAATATAAATCAAAGTCAAATGATTAATATTAAAAGATTTCACAATTTTTCAACCACACGTTTAAAAAACTTTTATTACAATTTATTAAAAAATTTAATTTTAATCTTCACCGTAATATCTGTTTGCTCCACCTTTTTTCGTTACGATCATTACATTTTGGGACCATGCTACATGAACATTAAGGGCTACATCGGGGCCTACATAATGGACACGTGACGCCTTGACGTTGGCCAAGGCGCCTACCACACCTCAGGCCCACAGGCGCTTCACCAATCGCGAGGTGCCGGGTGTCCATTATGTAGCTTCCTATGTAGCCCCCTATGTTCATCTAGAATTTTCCTACATTTTGACAACCCGGGTCCACCTGCTGTACGATATGTTGCACTTTCCTATTCAATTTCCCTTAATTGCCCTTCCAGAAAGGAACATGATTGGTGTACAATGTAGGGCAGAACCCCTAAAGATACCTCACAGGGGCAGCATGGATGGGTGAGTTTTTTGACATTATTTATTCACATGGGATCCACACTTTGTGAGATATCTATAAATTTTCTATAAGAAATTTTCTGTACATAAAACATTACTCTTCCAGAAAACACATTGCAACTTTTGATAAGGTCGTAACATTCTGACAACCCGGGTCCACCTTGCTGTACAGTATGTAGCACTTTCCCATTCAGTTTCCCTTAATTGCCCTTCCAGAAAACCCATTGCAACTTTTGATAAAATTCAGTAATAGAGATGGCAATGGACGTGTTCGGGGTTGGACAACTTTTTGTCCTGTTTGTTTTCTCGTTTAATTTTTATTTATTTATTTATTTATTTATTTATATTTTTAAAATTTCGAGTTATGTTATAATTAGAGAATAAAATACAAATTTAAAATGTCTTTAGCGGATAAATTATCTAGAAATAAAATTATTTTTATTTTTATTATTATTTTTTATCTTCACGGTGACACCCCGCCCAGCCTTACTAACCCATTCGGGGCGGATTTTTTTGCCCCATTCAGAGCGGGACGGAGTTTTTTGCGATCCTCATTCAGTAAGGGCAAAACGGGAAATGTATTTGGATTTAAAAAGATATCACAAGCTTTTATATGTTGCGGGCCCCACCGTCGGTGGACGTGAAAAATGCATTTTGGGATCAAACGAGGGCTTAACTTGTACATTGTTTTAAGTCTACACCTCAAGATATCGGTACTCGATGAAACCGTAGATTTACCCTCAATACAACAAATAGTCCATAACAAATGCCTACAAACAATAAATAAGTAGATATTCTCCTCGAAATGACTACATATAATGTCAAGAAGTACGTCGATACACATTTAAAAAATTGTGTGATTATCATCAGAATCTTTTCTTATACCTCGTTTTTTTGGAAAAATGCTGTTCATGTATGGTCCTAGAAATCCTCTAGAACAATGCGCTTCTCACTATAAACCAAGATATCGAAAGAATTTGTTAATCGAAATATTCATTATGGAGTTTATCATGTAGATTTGCAACGTTATGTCACCTTGCTGACATTATTTTTTTAATTGATGTAAACTTTACGTGATATTCTGTTTGACGCCTCACGTATTCCTATTTTTTCACAGTTGTCGCATTTACTCAAAAAAAAAAAAAAAAGTTGAACCCCAACCTTGAGGGCCCTCACGATTCCACCCTTAGAGTTTTGTGAGAGATGTAAATCGCAAGATGTGCTTTAACAGGTTAGGAAATAAGACCTGTCTATATATTGCGCTACAAGGAATCCAATTCCATGTTTCAGGAATCGAACCCCCATACTGCAACTGCTAGCAAGGCGTGAGATAACTTCACTCATGTCCTTTGCACCACTGAACTATGTTCTTTGCATTAATAAAGAAAGATAATTTCATCGAAAACCCTGATAACATTTCATTTGGCAGATTTCTATATAGATTATTTCTTACTACAAAGCAAAAGATACACAACTATTCAGAACCTGGTTAGAAATTTTAAAATGAAATTCCGATTACAAGCCGCTACGGAACTGCAGGGATATTGGCTCAATGATCAGTGAAATTATGTTCCTTTTAGTCTCAAGATGAGGAACTCCAAATCCATCTCCATACTGATACATGCATTGAGAAGTCCGTGCTAGATTCATTGCAGTACCAGCGAAATCCTTGCAGGGGCTGTTCATTAGTATTTCTTTATTGATTTTCTTCCATGTCACATCAATTAGATACTTAATGTATTCTCTAGCATCCTCTTCGGAACACCCTGTGTCCTTCATGTAACACTGGATTGATTTTGGAACGTCGCCTCTCTTGATTTCGTCCTGGATATCATATTCCAAAAATGAGGGCGCATAAATCATTGTGCTTGTATTGTATGTATGAAGCTAAAGTTAAAATGTAGTATGTAGAACATATTTGGTAAGGAGTACTTGATGGGATCTATTATTATTTAATTTCCAAAATTTTACAAAATGTCCATTTTTACTTAGTCATTTGCAAAAATGTCCACCATTGCAAAAATGTCTAATTTGGAAGAATTTAGACCAAAATACCCTTATTAACAATTTATAATTCCACGCTAAGACAAAAAAATGGACATTTTTGCAATATTGTTATTGGCCAATAAAATTTTGACACATAATCTGTCATATTTATTTCAAAAAGTATACATGTCAAATCACAATAAATTCTATGTTTTTCATTGATTCAAAAATATCAAGAACGACATTTTTTAAATGTAGAAAAATGTCATTCTAGACAAATGAAACGGTATTCAAATGTCGAGAATGACATATGAAATGTCGAGAAACATTATTTTAATGTAGCTTCTCATGAAAGCCATTTTTCAAAATTCGTGACAAATTGAAAAAAAAAAAATCAATGTCGAAAATACCATTTCAAAATGTAGCTTTTCATTAAGGTCATAATAGACAAGTTGACACTAAATTCAAATGAATTGATACTTTTTAACTCATATCCTTAAAATTGGACATTCTAAAAAATGACTCATATTTAATACTATAGTCATGTCTAGTACTCTGTACCAAAGTGCAACTAGGGTTTAGTTTTCATACAGATGAAGTTCCCAAGTCGTTTGCTAGACGAAGAACCAGCGATGGCCAGTGAATGATTCCGGGGTATTGCTCCAAACTTCCCAAATCCTTCTTTGTTAATGGGTTTATTGTGCAAAAATAAGCATGAAGAAGAAGCACAGGTCCAGATATGGATATCCAGGCTGCGTTTAGGTACTCACTGAGGCTGGGAAAATACCCACTGTTGTACCATCTTGCTTCTATCAAGTAAACTCTACAAAGCTCAGCCCACTGATGTATGTAAAGATTATAAAATGAAGAATCAGAGATTGGGGCATTATGTTGATCTAAAGTTAATAAGTTTCAGTGTGTAACATTAATGAAGCAACCATATCACGATCCAGAAAAAAGTAGAATAAGAAACAGAGATAATACCGATTTCCGGATGTTCGAGATTATGTTGAGACCTTGATCCTTTAGAACGTCGTAAGCGATTTCATTAGTGGAGTTGAAGAGAGCAAGGAAACAAATTCTCATGTACTCTGGAAGCTGGTTCAATGCATTGATGTCCCATCTGATACACCAAAATAAGTATATTTTTTTCTAAGGAAAGGAAATAAATCTTCAAAACCAAAATTTGTTAATGTCTATTTTCATCATTTTCCATTTTTCTTTTTCTTTTTCTTTTTTTGGGAGACGGGGTCGGATATGTGTAAAATCACTAAAATGTGTTGAATTGTTCAATATGTGAAATGGACAGACTGTTCTGTTACATGTATAGTGAGCTGACCAGCCTTTACAATCGAATTGTGATGGCACAGTTATAAAGGCCTATAACTCACCTCGATCCATTAATATGGATTTGTGTTTAAAAAAGAGTTGTACCACGTCCCAGACCAGATACTGTGTTAGGATGAGATGCTGTGACAAAAGATCTAAACACTTTTTATCACGATACACTAACCTCTCCACTATATCGGTA